TTGTATATAGTCCGCGGTTAACCAAGTAGTAAGCTGTACTAACCGCTTCTGCCCAGAATCTTTTATCTAGCCCAACATTAGAGAGCATGCACCTTGCTCTCTCCAGAAGTGTTTGATTCATCCGCTCAGCTACATCGTTCTGCTATGGTGTATTTCTAACTGTACGATGTCTAGCAATCCCTTCACTCTTACAGAATTGATCAAATTCAGACCAGCAGAATTCCAGCCCATTATCAGTTCGCAACCTCTTGATATTCTTCCCTGTTTGATTTTCCATCAAAATTTTCCAATCCTTGAAATTCTAGAAAGCTTCACTTTTATGCTTCATCATGTACACCCACGTCATCCTTGAGTAGTCATCAATAATGGACACAAAAAATTTGCAGCCTCCCAAAGACTCAACACGGCATGGACCCCAGCAATCAGAATGGATATAATCAAGTGTGCCTTTTGTTCTGTGAATGGCCTTTGGAAACTTGTTGCGATGTAGTTTTCCAAAGACAAAATGTTCACAAAACTCTAGGATCTTAACCTTATGACCAGCAAGAAGATCCTCCTTTGACAGAATTTGCATCCCTCTTTCACCCATATGACCAAGTCTCATGTGCCATAACTTAGTCATATCCTCCTGGTGAACTTCTGACGATGCAACATGGGCTGAACCTGTAACTGTGGAACCTTGTAGAAAATACAAAGTACCACGCATGACACCTTTCAGAATCAGATTTGAACCCTTCCAGACCCGCAAGACTCCATCTTTTCTCGACCAACTGAATCGCTTGCTGTCCAAAAGACTGAGAGATATCAGATTTTTCATCATCAATGGAACGTGCCTGACCTCGTTCAATGTGCAGAAGCTACCGTCATGTGTCCTTATCTTGATCGAGCCTGTCCCAACCACCTTGCAGATAGAACTATTGGCAATCGAGATGCTGCCTCCGTGTACCTGCTTATAAGTCCTGAACCACTTTCTCCTAGGACAGATGTGATAGGATGCCCCAGAATCGAGAACCCACACATCTGAATGATGAGTGTGCTCATCCGCAACTACGGCAATGTCTTCTTCAGAATTGGTGTCTTCTTCAGCGACAGCAGCAGAAACTGATTGTTTTTCCGATTGCTTCTTCTTTTTCGGACAATCAAATTTCCAATGTCCCTTCTCCTTGCAGTAATTACAAACATCATCCAGCTTTGCACCCTTCGACATCGGCTTCTTTTTCTTTCCGCTATTTTTCCTTCCCTTTTCGCTACTGGTGAACAGATTGGAAGGTTGTATGTCCGTACTTGTGCCGTTAGCCTTATGCCATAATTCCCTGCTATGAAGGGCCGATCTGACTTTTTCCAGCGACATAGTATCTTTCCCAACAATGAACGATTGAACAAAATTCTCAAACGACATTGGGAGAGATACTAACATAATCAGGGCAGCATCTTCATCCTCGATCTTCACATCGATATTACGCAATTCTAATAACAAAGTATTCAATTGCTCTAAATGTTCCCTGAGTTGTGTACCTTCAGCCATTCGTAAACCGAATAGACGTTATTTCAGAAGCAGCTTGTTGGTTAGAGATTTTGTCATGTACAAACTCTCCAGCTTCAACCACAGACCAGCAGCAGTCTCTTCATCCGAGACCTCCGTGGTGACGTCATCCGCGAGACACAGCATGATCGTCGAGTGCGCCTTTTCCTCCAGAATCGCCATCTCAGAAGTAACAACGGCGCTCTTGTCTTTTGACAACGGCGCCCAGAAGCCTTGCTGTTTCAACAAAGCCCGCATCTTGAACTGCCATAAACTGAAACTGTTCCTCCTTGTGAATTTGTTGATTTTCACGTTCAAAGCAGACATCTCGAATTCTCCAAGAACACCGATTAACCGAGAGGCTCTGATACCAATTTGTTATGCGAAATTTGAGATAACACGAGAAAATATAAATGCGAAAGAACAAGACAACAGATTTACGTGGTTCACCAATAAATTGGCTACGTCCACGGGAAAAGGGGGAGCAGTTTTATTATGGAGAGGCAAAAAACAGAATTACAGAATAGGATTTGTCATAGCGTCTATATATAGTGCTAAGCTACGCCCTAACAGTCTTGGGCCCAAAATACAGAATTGACAGACAATTAAGGGCTCAATTCAAGGCATTCAACAAAGTTCAAAATAACTAAAGAAATTTTCACATATAGCCACTAAAAAATAACTTAATTACGCTCCATAACAATAGTTTGCGAATTATGATTCGTAGCTACATAGGGAGGAGAGTGACGAATGAGATTGAGAGAGGGAGGAGAAAGACGAGCCAGAGAGTGGGAGATAGTTGAATTATATATGTATATCGGATAGATAAGTGTACATATACAAACGGTATACATATGTATTTGTATATCTGGTGAGCGAGATTGAGAGAGACAGAAAAAGAGACAAGAGAGATTGGGAGAGAGTCAAGCGAGAGAGGACAATAATTTGTATAATTCGCATCTCTTTTGTATAGTTTGCAGGTACTTTTTATAATTCACTTGTTTTGTATAACTGAGTGATTATGAACCTTAAATATTGTATTAGAACCCACACTGTTAACAAGAAATGGTGTTCTAGGAATTCTCAGGCTTGGAAACTTCTTATGATGCAAGAGAGAAAGCATAATCTCACATCATTTGGAGAATCAGTGAAGGTGAATGCAGTAATGTGGTGGGATAATTGGACTGAAAGGGGGGCCTTGGCTTCTATGTTTCCAGATGACATCATAAATCCAAGAGCTAAGGTCAAAAACTATATTGTGGATAGCATGTGGGATCTACAAAGACTCAGGAACATGTTACCTCAACATATGGTGTAGCACATCAGTATCATACACATTTGGCAACCTGATGAAAAGGATTATGCTTTCTAGAAACTTACACAAGATGGCAACTTTGACAACTACACATGGCTACACATTTCTCAAACTGTGGAAAAAATGAAACCAGTGGTGAGTTGTAAGGTCATTGTCTGAAAAAACCCGACTGAAGGAAGACTCAAACTCAATAGTGATGGTAGTTTCTTAAGCAGCAATAACCGAGCTGGAATTGGGGGTATCATTAGAGATGCAGTTGGAGATCTTGTAATTACAGAGGTTAATTCCAATCTTTTGTGAAAGTAACAATCCAGCAGAAGACAAGCTATTATATATGGTGTTTAATGGTGCAATCAAAACAATATTAACGCTTTATGTTTGCATGTGTTTATGTGGGGTCTGCTTTCTTTGCACTAGAGTAAGTTTTTTATTTGGTTTGGTACATACAAAACAAAACAGGAGAGAAAACAAAGAGTGAAAGAGTTAGTGTAAAAGAGAGTTCTTATTAGTAGAAGGGATGTGTTCTTTTTCGTGGAGCTTTGGACTCAGCTCTTGTCCAGAGTTGTTGAGTTATACTTTGTGAAGGTTGTTGTATTCTGGAGGGGACAAGTCAAAGAGGACTATTGCTGGACCGGTGAAAACATTTGTTGCAGTGGGCTTGAATCTCCTTAAAGAGAACGAGATATCCGCGCCTCAGCCTAAAGAGATTAATTTCTTCATTTTATTTTCAATTGTAATCCTGCAATATTATTATCTTATAAATTTTTCACTAACAAATCTTTTGTGAAAGTAACAATTAAGCAGAAGCCAAGCTATTAGATATGGTGTTTAATGGTGCAATCAAAACAATATCAACAGATTGTACTTCGAGATGGACTCTATGATTATTGCTAACAACCTCAAACTCAAAGCGATCATAAGGGAAAAAAAGCTCAACATGGACATAGATGAAACACAAACACACCGTTGTTTCAAGAGACCAACCAAATGGCTGATTTATTAGTAAAAATGACATCCTCAAGTGGAATGAGTAACTTTTACTATTCTTTTCAGCAACTTTCGAAAGGATTAAAGAGACCCTTTCAACTAGATAAATATCAACTCCCTAGTATTAGAAGGAAGTTTGATAAGGTTAATTTTTTTTGTAAGTTAAACTATTTGTAAGTCTAAGGAAGAGTTTGTATAGGGTAAATTCTTCCTTGAAGATTGTTATCTTGTGAACAATCTTTCTTTAATTTGCTGCAGTGAGGTAAGGTCCATGCCCTCATCCTTTTGAATGCTCTTTAATGGAAATAGATATGGAAAATTTATAATAAAAAAAAAGTCTGGAATTATATAAATATGATAAAACTCAAAATAATGAATTGATTCAAACATAAATATATGAACTTTAAAAGTTATATAAATTATATTATACAAATTACATTAGATATATTATGTTATAAAAATAAAAAAACTACACATTTATACAAACTTTAAAAAGTTATACATAAAAGATTGAATTTATATGATGATAAAACTGGTCATATATAAACACAAAGCATCGTATACAAATACAAATCAAGCGAAGAATTGTTAGTTGCAATTATACAAATGTGGCGACATACAAATGTGACTAATTATACAAACTCAAAGTCAGTCCATGTAATTAATATTTTATATTAGTCGCAAGTGATTATTATAGCAAATTATAACTATGATGACTAATTAAGAAGTAGAAGTCTGCTTAAATCACATAATTTTTATAAATATTAGGGATAATGCACAAGTATCCCCTCAACTTATGCCCGAAATCTCAGAGACACACTTATACTATATTAAGGTCCTATTAGTCCTGAACTTATTTTATTAATTATTTTTTCGACCTACGTGACACTATCTTGTGGGCCCAACGATGGTTGACTTTTTTTTTAAACTTGTGCCACGTAGGCTAAAAAGGGTAAAAAAAATTACTTATAAAATAAGTTCAGAAGCTAATAGGACCTTCTGAAATTTCGGATATAGGTTGAAAGGTTACTTGGACATTTTCCCTACATATATACTGTTATCCTTTTATGTCTTGCTAAAAATTATTTAAATTAATAATTATCTGCAATTCCATCTATTGTTGTATCTAAGTATTTTCATTTTCTTTAAAAGTAGTTTAGTAATGAAGTAAATTTACAACTGTCAACTGACATGATTCAGGTATGTTTACTCAATCGCAGTTCGAAACAGGCCCAAATTCCTCTTCCATCACTAACATTTTCCACCATTGTTGCAACTCAAAGAATCTCAGAGCCATTAAAGTATTTCAAGCACATCTAATTAGAACTGGGTTAATCTTCATCTCCACTAATTTTCAGTTCAAACTTGCAACTTCACTTCCCAACAACAACAAAAACAACCATGTACAGAACTTCACCAACTTCTTCAAATTCCTCAAACCCACAAACCCTTTGCTCTTAAATTCAATTCTTTCCCATTTTTCCCAAAATGGGTTTCATTCTCTTGCTCTTCGTACATTCTCTTTCATGCATTTTGGTGGTATTGGCATTGATTCATACACGTTGTGTAGCTCCATTACAGCTTCATCTGCTGTGAAAGATGTGAAATTTGGGCGAATGATTCATACCCTTGTGCGGAAATCGGGTTGGTTTTCTAGTGTTTATGTGGGGTCTGCTTTAGTGGATTTGTATGCGAAGTCGTTGTGTATCAAGAATGCAGCTAAGCTGTTCGATGAAATTCCTTTGAAGAATACAGTTTGCGTGAATGTAATTCTTTCAGGTTATGCTGAAGCTAAGATGTGGATGGAGGGAATGGCATTGGTTAGGAAGATGCCATGTTTAAATTTATGTTTGGATGATTTCACTTTTTCAGCTGCTTTGCGTGCTTGTGTTGGGCTCTCTGCATTTGAATTGGGAAAGCAGATTCATGGATGTGTAATTCGAAAAGTTCATGACATGGAATCCAATGAGTTCCTGCAAAGCTTGTTGATTGATATGTATGGCAAATGTGGGTCAGTGGAGAAGGCTAGGCATGTATTCGATATGGTTGGCTTTAGATATGGAGAAAGAAAGAGGGATGTTGTTCTGTGGACATCAATGCTCAGTGTTTGCGGAAGGAATGGGAAATTTGAAGAAGCGATTAATCTGTTTGATGACATGGTAATGGAAGGAATCAAACCAGATGGTGTAGCATTATTGACTGTTCTCTCCGCTTGTAGTCACACTGGCCATGTAAATCTTGGAATGCAGTACTTCGAATCAATGACATCTAATTACAGTTTGGAACCCAGTCCTGAGCACTATAGTTGTGTGATTGATTTACTGTGTCGTGCAGGTGAGTTGGATAGAGCATGGAGCTTAATCAACGACTTATCTTACAAAGAGAATGATAATTTCACTGTTACCATGTGGGGGGCCTTGCTTAGTGCGTGCCATAACTTTGACAATGTCGAACTAGGTAAATTAGCTGCTCAAAGGGCACTAGAGTTAGACCCTCAAAATGACGGGGTTTATGTTCTGCTATCTAACATGTATGCGAGGAATGGTATGTGGAATGAAATTGAGATGTTGAGGGAACGGATAAAAGAGAAGGGATTAAAGAAAGACATAGGACATAGTTTGGTAGATATCACTAGATGAGATAAAGGCAATAGTAGAAAAATAAGCTACGTTCTTCTTCTCATGGATTCATTTAGTTAAAAGAAATGGTTTATGAGGTGTGGCACAAACTGTGAGGGTCCTTGTTGATTTCCATTTTGTATGATACATATCTAAAATGATTAGAGTATACTGTAAGTGCAGTTATGATGTTCAAGATGGCTTCTTTATGATTTGGTGCATACTGTAAGCACAGTTATGATGTCCAAGGGGGCTCATACATGGGAGTGATGCTACAAGTTTGCAGCTCAAGTTAGATTGTTGAAAGACCATGCATCATTGTAGACTTGTTTCTTGAATGTGCAGCGGCAGAGCAATTAGGGCAGTAGAATGCTGAGGAAACCAAGGAAACCTTTTCAAATCCAAATATTCCAGGACAAGGAAACCAAAAATATTGATCAAATTGACATTAAGCTAAACAAGGAACTTCTACGGCAGAAGAGTGCCTCTTCCATCTCAAGAAAGAGCTACCTAAGAGAAATCTCAGTTTTCATTGAAGCTCTTAATTTTTCTGTTGGACTTGAGGTGGGATGAACCAAATTCTTATATGTGAAGTGACAATGGAGAGAGAGGGCTGGGACATGACTTTGAAATGCTTGGGCTTAATGAGCAATGTAAGGAGAGTTCTACTGGCAGTGAAACATGATGGCAGAGAGATAGGAGGAATAATAGGAGATAAAAGAAGAAACTCTGGCAATCCAATGTAACATCTGTTGGACACGATAGTAACTAGTGCTGCTTGAAGCACACCAAGATAACAAGAACTAACTCATCTGGAAGAGTAACCATAATCCTTTGTAAGTTTCCTCATATTTGAAGTATAAAGATTACGACTAAATATCGAGAAATCACTTGCTCTTAATTCTTAACTTCTGGGATGGTCAGGAATCAAAATGAAATGGGTCCTAACAGCAGATCCATTGACTAATAATGGACAGATGAGCTATATGAAAGGAAGACAAAATCATATACTAAATATGCTTGCTGCCTCAGGTGAAGGATGAATTTATTGTTTGTTTTTGTCATCATTGTGCATTGATATTAATTTTGCTAAATTGTGGAGGACTGAAGTATTGCAATAGTCGTTGGAAGTTAGAGAACTTTCAGAACAATAATAATAGCGAAGTTGTGGAACCTGATAGTTATGTATGTGTAAGGTGATCCTCATGGTTCAGCTGGACATGTTCGACTTTCATGGTATAACAAGAAATAAGCTGGGTTGGATCGTCTAAGGCATGTATGGAGATAGAATATGAGCTTTGCTGTTCAAAGATATCCAGATATCTCCAAGTGTACCACCATTAACAACTAATGCATAATTCATCCAAATTAAAATTGTAGCTCAACAGTTTTTCACTGTGAAATTCTTTTATCAATTTATTGTAATAAAGAGAAGATATGGTTTGATGGTTTATTCAGTGCTGGAGTTGCAATTTCATATTGCAAGATTCAGAAGGTAGTTGAGCATCATAGATGGACAGCATCTACATTTTATACCTGCCTCTAGTTCTGAGTTTATTATAACTAGATGTAAAGTAATTGTCTTATTCTGCTGAGCTTTGATGTAAAATTTCTTTTTCATTTTTACTTGATATATGATGTGCTTGTAATTTCTGCAAAGTAGAGTCATGAGAAAGAATTACAAATGTACCAACTATAAGAAGACATTGAACTAAAATGTTTTCGAGTGGAGTTGTCCAGAGATTATTCCATTAATTTTTTCTTCATATGTTAAATGTCCTCTTTGATACTCTGCTAAATACTTGGACACTTTTGGCTTGTCCGGACTACGAGCATTTCCAACCCACCTCTATTTGACTCTCCATTCTCTATATTTGGACTCTCTCTAACCCACCTCTTAATCACCCTTTATTTTCTATTTATAGAGAGGTAGAATAGTAGTTTTTCAAATTTGGATAACTACTATTCACACTCTCTATTTCACTTTTTCAATATTTTATTATTACTTTCATTACTTTTCAATTAACATATTATTTTGTTACATATAATTTCATTAATTCTAACATCTAATATTCATGATTCTTTTTAAATGTAATATATTATTTTAAAAAATATATTATCTAGTATATACTAATTTAATTTCAATTTGTTATAAAATCAAGCTCATAAAAATATAATCATAAGGAGAAGAAGACAAGAGAAGTAGATAGAAGAAGAGAAAATTTCTTCTAATTCAAGTGAATATAAGTCTCATGTGCATATCATACAATAGTGAAAGAACAACCCTATTTATAGATTGATAAATCACTCCAAAAGTCACCATATTAAGTATACCATAATAAATAGATACATTCTTATCCAAAAAGATTCATGAAACCTAGTGAATATGGATAGTTGTTCATGTACTTACTTTATTGACTATCTACTCATTCAATGGATTTATAACACCCCAATTGGATATCCATAGATATTGTGCCTCGTTAAAACCTTACTAGAAAAAACCATGTGGGAAAAAATCCTAGTGAAGGAAAAAGAGTAAACATATCTTTTGATAAGCATTATTTGTTGCCTCATTAAAAACCTTGCCAGGAAAACCCAGTGGGAAAAAACCTCGGTCAAGGGAAAAAGAGTGCAACGCGTATTGTACTCCCCTGATTAAAACATCACTTAATTTCTTGCAATTATGTCTTCGATCTTTGTACATTGTGGTTGGTATATTCTTTTTCAATGAAAAACCACACATTTCCTGAGTATGATGTATCATTTATGTCAACCAAACACACTTTCGACTTGCTTCATCGAGGACTTTTATTTCTGCATAGCAACATTTGCTTCATTGATCGCCAGGATATTATTGTGCCTCCACATGCAAACATAAAGCGTGCTTGAGAAGAGCTTTATGCGGATCAGATAAATATTCTGCATCTGCGTAACCAATCAATTTTGTCTTGGATTCCTCGGAATAGAATAAACCCATAACTATGGTGCTTCGAGGATATTCAATCATGTGCTCAACACCATTTCAATATTCTTTTATCGCGGAGAAACTGAATCTTGCCTGTAAATTTACTGCAAAACAAACATCTGGCCATATATTGTAGTAAGATGCACTAGTGCTCTGATTACACCAAGATATGGAGTTTCATTACCAAGAAGCTCTTCATCCTTCTTTTGAGATCAAACTGAATCATCATTTATGTCAAGCGATCTCATAATCATTGGGGTACTCAATGAATGTGATTTATCCATATAAAATGCATCAAAATATATCTGTGTATGTGCACTGATAAACAAATATTTCATCTGTCAAATTATCAATCAGTAGGTAAAGACAAAATTTTGTCTTACCAAGACTTTTTCGTTAAATACAAGGACAATTAGTGTCATTCTTTTGTATCCTTTTCCTCCTTGACTATTTCAATCCATATAAGGATTCTTGAAGCTTTATTGAAAAAGTTTCTTTCAAACTCTTATATGCTTCAGACACCTCGATTGGTTCAAGGATTTTCATATAACCTTCGTTGTCTAGCTAGACATTACAAATATTCGCTACATGCATTCAAGTTTTTCGTATGTTTCTAGATCAAAACAAACTTCATTGCATTCATCATAGGAGAAAAATATTTCCAAAAATGTCAGAATTTTTGCAACAGATCTTTATGCCCGAAGGCATAAACCGTATTTGATATCTTACGATTATACAATTGCATAATAATTTATTTATACCCCACTGACATTATAGCTTGATTTATGGACTATCTGTCCAAAACGTCACTTTTGTAAATGAAACAATATACTTGAATCATGCATTTTATTTGGCCAACCTTTTATCTGTCCACACTATATGACAGATTTGAATTCAAGATCCTCGTCACAATTTATATCATTGAGCGCTACCTCATATAAAAGATACCGTCGACAGTTATTTGATATTAATTTTAATATGACATAACTTATCGAGATCTCTTCAGTTTTTCTCATTTTTCAGGTACCTGAACCTTTTCCAAGGTTGTATGAAGTGTTATGTCGCTCTTTTATAGCACTTGCCTCATTATATGACCATATTGATATTTGTTCTTCTCTTCTTTAAGAAATTTTATATCTGGAATCGATTGGTCTATTATGCTTCTGGCGTATCATAGACTTTGTCCTTCAAGGACTTCACATTTTAACATTTGCAGCTGAATTATATCATAGGGTAAGTGCATTCATCTGGCAACTGATTTGCAACATTATGCAACTGAATTATCTCTTGAACTTTAAGTTCACATATTTATTTAACGAGGAAATAGATAATTCATAATTAACCTCACACATAATTTTCAGTTGTCAATCATCTCTCCCCCTAATGTTAGAAAATCTAACATTCATTCTAACCTTATTTTGAAGTTCATCTTTGTGCGTGGTGGAGAAATTAAAATCATAACCGCACATTCAACATTTTAGATGAAAATTATATGGTTCCTGACCCTGAATCAATTTTAATGGGAAAACCTTGTTGATTTTATGCATACATGTGTTGCTACATGTTAAATAAAATTATCTCATACCACATCTTATTTGGGAGTTTTGTTCTCATAACCATGATTTAGCTATAATTGAAGGCATACAATTTCTGCTAAATCAACCAGCATTATCATTATAGTTTCATAATTTGGAATTGTTCTCTTAATTTAACAATTCAAGCAAACAACCTTATCTTGCATAGATGCATTTGTCACATAGTTGCAAATGATCTACATGACAGGTGAATGAGCCCATATCCACCTTTTTATATGTCCCAAAAACTTCAGGAAATTATAATCCCAACCTTAGCTGGTACAATGATCATATTATGAGGAGAACAAACAACACAAGAGAATTCTTGAAGAATCTTTATTTCTTCATCATATAAATCACCTAAATTCTCAATCACGTTTGCATCACATTTAACCGGAATGGTCAACCCAATTGATCTTTATTTTAGTACACTTATAATTTACTTTTACATGTGATTTCATCAGCATGTACATGTTTGTATGGAAAAAACAAGAGGAAAAGTGGGGTAATCTTTTACATAAATATCTATAACCCTCTTCGGTTGTAGTGATTTATAGTCTCAATATTTATTCTCAATTCATCCAAAATTTAAAAAGTTTCTTTTGAGACTTACTACAATCCCAATATTATTCCTCTGATAATAGCACAACTTGTTAGAGCTTGCAATTAATTTTGTGTACTATCACATATTCCATGACACCATCTATATGTTGAACATCTCCTCAAGGATAAATTATATCATTATTGTCATGGTTAAAATTATTATGAGCAACACATGTTTCTTGCTTTTCTTTTGTTGTGACATAGGTACACAATCAATGACAAATTTGTATTGTCACACAATGTATTTGATCATGGCCACAACCTTTATAGGCAAGAATTATTTCATTCTTATTGCCCTTTCGGTAGTTCATAACAAACATATCATAATATTCATGACGTATAAATGTACACGATCATTGGCCGTTCATGTCAAATAAAATTTATTTATTTCTCTCGAAGCTCCTGTAGAGATGAGATGTGGCATATATAATTTTTTTTCAAACCTTCCATAAAGGTGAGTTGTGCATATATCCAACCCACAAATTTTTATCACATCTTGACTCATTCTCATATAGAATGGTCGAGAATTCACGATACTCATCACAAGTCACATTCTTTTCAAGGAATGGAGTAATCATTTATATGTACTTCATTAATTTCATTATAAGTACATTGTCATGTTTTAGAATTCTTCATATTTTCATGACACATCTCAATATCACTTTGAAAGATCAAGTGTACCATCACTTTATCTTCTTGTCTCATGATAGAGGATTTATAAACTTTTCAAATTATTGGGTTGACAACATTCACAAGTCTAATGACTTTTCATACCATTTTGATAATAAAAATTGCCTTCACATTTTAAAGGACTATTTGAAGAATTCATAGTGTTCTTCCTTTTATCATTACCACAATGATGACTAATATAATTCTGTCTCTCAAAGCCCTTATTCATATCATTAATTATTTGTCATCTTTCAGACTAATCATTTACTGCTACCACATTCATATGATTGAATTGAGTAAGTCAACAGGCAGATTTCAGAGTTATCACATGTTGCTACCATATTCTTTTCAAGGAATGGAGTGAATTCAATATGATGAATTTCAAGACATTTCATCAAAAATATATTATTTTTGCCTTAACCATCATTTTATCACTATTATGGTGCATTGAGACTCAAACTCAATGTCGTATCAATATATTATTATCACGGTGCATCAAAATTGATGTTTTACCCTCTTGGTGCGATAGAATTTGAATCTATCGTCTTATCCTCAAACAATTTTCATTATGTGCATCTGGACTTGACTTGATGTCTTACCCTTTTTGGTGCGATGATACTTGAACCCATTGTATTCCACTTAACAAACGATATAATAGATCGAAGTACAACATGACTCACCCTTTGAGTCTTTCAAAACAATCAAAATAATATTCAAATTCATACTATTAAAATTTTATACCTTCTTCTATTTAATTTTTTTTGTATAGCCTGTCATAATTCAACCAATAGTAGTATATGTCTTAGAAAATACAT